TGGCGGTGGAGGGGGAGTGTCTGTCTGGGTTAAAGTGATTCTGTGATAGTCACTCACAGGAGTTAGACCTGTCCTGCAGCGCCCCCTTTTGTAAACAGGGCCCCGTGTAGACACATTCACAGCTGTGGTTTGAAAACCCACTCAACTTTATACAAACAAATATTCTCACTGAAGAACAGAAACAAAATTGCCAAGAAGTGAATACTTCCCAAAATAATACTTCGCCTCCCATGCAGTACTTTTGCGCTGCTCAAAGGGTCCCCACTCCCCACTTTGAGGGAGCCTGATTTAGACTTTGAAAAAAGATTTACCGTATTTTCCAGACTATAAGTTGCTCTAAGTATGGGTCGCACCAGTGCCCTCTAGCGGCTGTCAGTGTGAAAACATGTGACATTATATATATGTTAATATATACGTCTCAAACCAAGGGTGAAAAAAAGTGCGACTTATAGTCCGTAAAATAGGGTAATATGCTGAATGTTGATCTCTAATGGAGTCGGTGTCCGTCTGGTGACTCCATCGGTTCTTCTGACTTTATGACCAGTTTCCCTTCTCTATAATAATATCGTGACAGTTTGGCAGCCAGTCGTCATGTCAATCAGTCTGACGACAGATGATGACACAGGACGCCATACGGTTGGTCGATAACATTATTGGTCTGTCAAAAAGACGCACAGCCTGAAACTAGTTCAGACCGGTCTCTGTGGCTCCAACAGCTTTGACTAGTGTCGAGCTGTGTTCGACCTTTGACCTTTGGTCAGATTTTATCCTACCAAACATCACATTTTTTCACCAAACTACCATCAGATTTTATTTTCCTCAAAAGAACTTTTAAAGGAACTGGATTTCAAAGACTTCCTCCAGAACTTTAAAGACGTCTTTAAAGAAGACACGGTTTCTTCTCAGATCAATGTGTTTTGGTGTTTTACTGAACTCCTCTAACTGTCTCTTTAAAAGGCGACGTTGACCAGATTATTTTAATCTGGATAACGGCGGTCATTTCCGACCCACTGAGCTACTGTACCACAGATACCTCTGGTGGCGAGAACTTGTTGAGAAGACTTCCTGGACTTCCTGAAGATCCCTCTGCTTCTTCCTCCGTTGGCCATCATTTCACTCTCCATGGCCTCCTGCTCCTTGGCGGCCTTCAGCATCTCCTCTGGAAAACCACAACAGTCACAGGTTAAAGTTAAAGGTGTAGAACTGAAGGCATCGAGGTGGTGTGGTTTATTTTTTAAACGTCTTTAATTACTGAGAAGCCTCTTATAAAGTTGTTGTTTTTTCAGAACCGTAAACCTTTTATGACGTCTTTTTTATAATCTCCCGTTCAAAGCGTTCCGTCTTATCGCGGCTCCGTTTTATTGCGGGTGAAGTTTGGAAGAATAACATTTTACACCTCAGTGGTAGTGACCTGTTTCACAATGACTGCTGTTGTTGTTTTTCTGGATCAAACTGGTTTGGAGTTTGTTACAAACGGTCACGTCGCAGCGCGGCCTTGAAGCAGGTTCACTGGCCGCGTGTTCGCTGCCCCCTGTGTTCACACCGGGAGTTTACACCGTAGCAAAAACAGAAATTACAGTTCAAACGATTGTTTTAGCTTGCTTGGTAATAGCAAGACCTGGTGTGTAATCTTAGGTAGAGGGCGCTACCGTACTTAGTACTGAAGGCCACTGTGCTGGAACCGATCAATTCTGTTGTGTTTTTGTCCTTGTTGAGTTCCAAAGCTTTTTTTTTTTACTTCATAAATCTGTAGTATTACTACAGTACTTTGAACTTCATAACTTCTGTTGATGGTTGGAATGTTTTTGCAGCTCGTGGTGAAGTTTGTTTGCTGTTGGAATGATAAAAATGTCTCTCTTAGTCAATTTCAGGATATCAGTAATATAAAGCTGCCTAACCACTGGGTTGTGGACCATTACAGGTACACGAGTCACTCTATTCCAGCTAGCAAAGAAGAAGTTTTTGCATTGAACCTTGTCAAAATAAGTGTCAGTTTGGTTGAAGAATGCTCTGGACAGATCTTAGGTGTTCTTCAGTGGAGCACCAACTTGTCAAAATAAGTGTCAGTTTGGTTGATGAATGCTCTGGACAGAGTGCTGAAGCGTTACCACTAGGGGGGGTTCGATGGCTGGGATTCAAACGTCTGCCTATGGTTGTGGTTGATTGTTCATTTAAAAAGTCTCACTGACCTTCAGCTTCAACGATGTGCGACACGTCCAGTCCTTCGCTGACCCTCAGGATCACCGTTCCATATTCAAAGTCGAACGCGTCACTGTTCAGTACAAGGACGGGGAAAAAAAACAAAACAGGTGAACAAACGTACGTGTGTGTGTGTTTAGTCCACACTGTGTGTGTGTACGCCTCAAACTTACTGCAGTATTCCCACATAGGTCTGCATGGACTCTCTGCCTGCAGTCCTCCAGTTCTTCTTGAAGCCCATCATAAAAATATTGGGCTTCATGCGGCCCACACCAGAAGCCTGAGAGAGAAGAAGAAAACACAGCAGTTATGAGCCAGAGATAAAGGCTGTGATCAGAAGGAGCCGTGACCTGGAGCGCTCAGACACCGGCTGTAAAACCTGCTGTTTTCATCAACTGACACAGAGGAAAAAAAAAAAAAGTTTCAAAGTGTCCTGGACCAGAGGGCCGCAGGAGGAGTTTTAGTACCAACAGTTACGACCAGATCACTCAGCAGGACTCCTCTGGTCCGCGGGGCCTCGTCCACTGCAGTGTTAATCAATTCTAGCTTTTAATCCGCTGTCGTTTCTGAACTAAGACGTCTCCGCAATGAAGCTCAGTCTTATCCCTGAAGTCTGATAGTCACAGACTGTCTGCTCCTCATTAACCCCCTCATCTCCAGGCAGGTTCAAGTCTGTGTCAAAAACAACAACTGAGCTCTGTCTCTGTGATCAGATATAAAACGGGGCGATGTCCGACATTAAGCTTTTTGCGATATCCATTATGCTGATACTGTCCAAACACGTCATTTCTGATTCCGATATCAACCAATTCTGATATAGGCATTCTGCATACAATCCCCTGATTATTAAAATAGATTAAGAAAATGAGCTGCAATGCTGCCATCTAGTGGCTCTCATTTCCATATACAGCTGTTTTTTCCCCAAAACTATTTTTAGAGCACACATCATTTGATGAAACCCAGGAATTGCGTTATCGGGTTTTCATTATCAGAGAAGAAAACGCTAATTCTAACCCCTCCCCCACTCGGGTTTTCATTATCAGAGAAGAAAACACTAATTCTAACCCCTCCCATGTCCCTGGTTTGTGCCCCCTGGACCTCACCCACCTGCAGAAGACTCTCCGTTCCGTCTCTGAATTCATCACAGGCCACAGCTGCGTAAAATGCCTTGCGTTTGCTCTTCCTCAGCCACAGTTGGTTCTTTTCCATGCCGGAGTTCAGGTCCTCCAGGGCCTCTGATCGTGGTCCCTGTGAAGAATCGGTACCGTACGGTGAACAGGGTTTGCGTCAGTCGGGTTCACAGACAGAACGACACCTCAGCGTTGGTCGTTTTATTATTGGTCTTACCACAAAGACTTCACAGGTGATGCAGAGACCGAAGTCTTTGGACAGGGAGTGAGCCAAGTCCAGCAGAGCTGGTCTGATCTTGGGCGAACCTGTCATCGCTAAGATCTGAGGTCTGAAGACAAACCGCCGAGAATTAGACCCCGGTCTCACAACAGCACAGCCCTCAGACGGGACCAGAAGTCAAGGAACAGTCCAGAACCTGGACTTCTTACCTGAAATTCTTGACGTGATCCTCGATACCAGTCAGAGAAAGAGCGTTGCTCACCGCGCTCACGAATGTCACAGCCTGTTTGGATGAACCCCAGTTCACGTCTGGAAGGAAAACATTCACAGATTAGCTTAAGATTTTTTTTTCCAAAAACCTAAACCTGGATCAGGACTGAGCTCACCTGGTTTCTTGACAGTGACATAAATGTAGAGGAGGATTTCAATGCCGTACGTGATGAGAGCGGCCCACCAGTTGATAACAAACATCACCACGCAGCAGAGAATGGCACCAATCAGAGACAGCCACATGTTGTAGAATTTGTATGCAGGTCTCCAGCCTGGGAGAAACAGACCAGGAGAAATCTTTCTTAATTCAATTCAACTTTTTTTTAAAAGATCAAAAAATCCAAAACAGAATTCCAGAAATTCACCTGGAGACTTGGCGTACGATGCGTGAAAGCAGGAGAAGTTGATGAGGGCGTACGATGCCAGGAAGAAGTTTGAAATGATGGGAGCGATGGTGTTGAGGTTACCTGCGGGGACAACACTGTCATCTGAGAACTGGTTTCACTGGTTAACTGGAAGGTTAATGTACAGCTGAAGAATCCACACTCACCCACGAGGATGAACGCCACGGAAATGATGAAAGTGAGGATGTAGCCACGGATCGGTTCATCGTTTTTACCATACCCTTTGGCGAAGAAGTGGAGGGCCTTGTAGATGTTGTCCTTGCACAGAGCCTGCGGAGAGGAACCATTACAACATGAAAAAGAAAAGTGACCGCGCTGGTGCGGTCGTTCAGGGACAGTGCAGGGAAAACGTGTTTCCTTTATTTCAGACCAAATTTCTTAGGGTCACTTTTCTGAAGTTCTGTTCTATTTTCTGCTCCAACCGGCAGTTCAACTGCGACAAGAAAAGTCATGTGCTGAAGGGTGACATTTGTCGGACACATTTATGATTTATGATTTCCAAGTGGGGCGGACGGGGGGTAGGAAGTTATGAGAGAAAATAAAAGAACATTTCTAAACGTTTCCTAAAATAAACTGCTCATGTTGGATTAGGAAAAAAACTATTGAAAACATTTTTGAGGTGAAACTGGGTCAAAGGTCAGGGTAACTGAACAAAACAGGGCAGGTGGAAACAAATGTTTCCAACCGGTTCAGTCTGTCATTGAGTCTGTGGTTGAGTCCGTGGTTAAGTCAGTGGTTGAGTCAGTGGTTGAGTCAGTGGTTGAGTCTGTGGTTGAGTCAGTGGTTGAGTCAGTGGTTGAGTTAGTGTCCGTCTGGATGTAAAATATATTTTTCTCCATATATAGACTACAGTAAAGACCAACCTGGAAGACTTTGGGGGCGCTGACGAGGGAGGCCAGGGCTGAGGAAAGTGTAGCTGAGAAAGTCCCAGCAATGATGAGGGGGCCGAACCCAGACACCATGGTCATCACCTGAACCACAGACACAGATTGTGGTTAAAGATAAGGCCGGTCCAAACCCACTGCTGGTTTACAGTTTGAAAAGAAGAGTTAACCTGGAAGTTGTTCATCAGTCCAAATTTGCAGGTTTCCGTTGCGCAGGAAGTGAAATTCCAGCCCAGGTCACAGGCCACTGATGCATTACACGTTGTCTCGTTAAGGCGGTCCAAGACGTTTCCTGTAGCGTCACGGACGACTGTAGCAGCTGAGTCGTGACAGGAAGGAAAAAAAAGTATTGATTACAAATGATTTTTTTTAATAAACAATAATAACTGTAGAATTTGCGGATGTGTAGAGTTGACTTACAAACACAGAGGGCGACACCGAGGTAGGTGATCCCGGTGATTAGGATGGCCAGCAGGGTTCCCTGTGGTATGGCCTTTTGGGGATCCTGAATATTTTGTAAAGTACTGTTAGCACATGTTTACGAAAGTATATTTCTGTAAAAATATATAAATAACGTTAGTTACCCGCAAGTCGCCAGAAATGTTGGCTCCAGCCAAGATCCCAGTGGCCGCAGGGAAGAAGATGGAAAAGACAGAAAAGAACGACTCCGTTCCTCTGAAGTCCGGGGTGAAATTCTCTAGGAATATTTTTGCTGTGTCACAAGAAAGACAAATGAAAGATTCTGTTAAAACATAGTGAGGTACTGTGCAGAACTGAGCTGGTTCACTGTCAACTTTTTCTTCTCTTGAACTTTTTTTTTTTTTTGGTATGAAGTGAACAGTTATGTAGCAGTTAGCGCTAATGCTTAAAAATACCAAAGTCACCAGCTATAGGTATGCTAAAGTAGCTAGCAAATATACAAAACAAATGTAATGTAAGCCGCATTATTTTATCCCAGGGCCCCAGTGCGTTTACGGCCTGTCGTTTTCAGGTGATTGCTAATGCAACAGTGTCCTGTCGTTTTCAGGTGATTGCTAATGCGTTCAGTGCGTTCTTACAGTTATAGTTGAAGAAGCCTTCGGATTGCTTCTTCTCGGTTGCGGGAATGACAGTTCCCACAAAGACATTTACGATGGCAGCCAACAGGATGACCAGTAGGACGAGCTGTGCCTGTAAAGAAGGAGAAACTGGTCAGAATGACGACCAAACAGTTTCCCACAGTGGGACCAGCTTGGCTCCGTCTCCTACCTTGGCTTCCCATTCCATTCCTGCCACTGAAATTCCCAACAGCAGCACCACGGTGATGCAGCCAACGATACGGATGTCGTTTAGTTCGTCCACCATGATGGCGTTATTCTCCTGAAGAACGACAACAGAGACAGGTTTACACAGGAGCTCTAACCTACTCATAGCTCAATGGTTCCCAAAGTGAGGGTCAGGGACCTCTTTAGGGTCAAGCCTTTGCAGTGGGGATGCAGCTGGTATAAAATGATCTGCAGTGATTTGTGACTGTGTTTCCTTTATTGTAGGAAAATGGCGGTTTATTTTGTCAATCACAGAGTTTTAAGTACAAAGTACATATAAGTACTTATATATCAACCAGTACTCTCACGGTAACTTCAAAATTATTTTCAGGTTGCATTATCTTGGCGAAACCTAGGCATTGCGTTATCGAGTTTTCGTTATTGGAAGAACAAAATATCGATTCTTACCAATATTATGCTTTTGGTTGGACGAAATTATCGGACGTCCCTGGAAAATACTTTAAGTTTTAAGTATGAATTAATTGGCAAGAAAATTCCATTCAAGCAAATGCTTTGAATGTGTTGGTGTGTGTGTGTGTGTGGTGGGGGGTGGGAGGGGCAATAGTCCAGTCTACAGGAGGGGGGCACTGTAGACCAACAACGTCATACCTTCAGCAGCTCAATCACAGTCTCAGCGAAGCCAACCACGTACATGGCCACGGCCACGGCGTTGGCAAAGGCAAAAATGAGACCAATGGAACCTCCAAACTCAGGGCCCAGACTGCGGGATATCAGGTAGTAGGCCCCCCCTGAAATGACACCAGGAGTCAGACGTACGCACGCACACACACACACACAGCTGAGGATGAAGAATCTGTGCACAACAGGTTCATTGATTTACTGTCACCACGGGTTTGAAAAGGTGACGTTCAGTCATGTTTAAGGCTTTGTGTCCTTATCTCTACACCCCGTCCTGGTCGCTTCATCTTCACACTCAAAGATGCACGCACAGTGTGTGTGTGTGTGTGTGTGTGTGTATGTGTGTGTGTCAGCGCTATCTCCAAGTTAAAATTTATAAATAACTCTTTAACTGTTACGGCTCGTGACCCAGATCCCTGCCACTGAAGCTGTTCAGTAGTAAAACTCTAAAACAACTCTCTTTCTGGGTCTCAGGGCAGCTGACCATGTGGGACTCACCTCCTCGGACCACACCATTGGTACAGATGGCCGACATGGAAAGACCAGTGATGGTGGTGACCACACAGCTGAGAAGAATGACCACGATCCCCAGACCTGACGGAGTCACACAGGTAAGAGAGTTTCACTTTGATTGTGCCCACGTTAGCTCCCGTAGCCCACATGGACTCAGATGTTTTTTGATGAGTCAACGGTCCATTTATTATAGTAGCTCAAGCCCCGCGCCATGTTACTGTAAAAAATGTAAACTAAAAAGCGTTGTTTTCAAATCCAAATAAATACAAAAAAAAAAAAAAAAAAATTTCCTGCAAAGAATCCCAAACAAATCTATCACATGTTCAGTTTGCAATCCACAAATAGAAGCCTCACGGGCTGGATGTAAACCACGGGCCACCGTTTGAGGAGCCCTGGCCTGGCTCTGTGTCCCCCTGCTGGTCATTATATGATGACTAGTTCTTACAGTGGCAGCGGTCATGAGGCTACAGTGTAGACGTCTAGTAAATACTCCTGTGTCCACTCTGACCAACACAGTAGTGAGGACTGGTCCCACTTACCCCAGCCCGCCTGACCGAACACCCAGGACAGGCGGATGAACAACATGACCCCCCAGATGTTCAGCATGCATCTGACCTGAGGAGGAGGAGAAGAAAAGTCAGGTCTCAAAACAACATTTTAGTTTATATTACAATTGCAGCTAACGTTAGCTACAACAGTTCTGGTACAGACGCCACAGCTAACGTTAGCTACAAATTGTGACTTATGTGTTTAATGGTGATTAATGTATTAATTTTTTTTTTAAAAAACCTAAACTACCTTTTCATGAAGAACCAATCAAAAACACACAGTGTCACTGCAGAAGCCAGTGCATTACTGCTGTCTCTGTTCTTAAAGCACGTCTCATTCAGTGCCATTTTTATTTTGATGTTTCAATGACAATGACGGTCAACCAGCATCTCTGACGCAGATTCCTCGTCCACTCCTTGACCCCACTGTGAAATAACTGAGTCCTGTCAGGACCCAGTTATAAAGACTGACACGACCCAAAATAACTCACCAGGACACCTCGTATCCACCCGAACTTTACTGCTTCTGACGCCTTTTTTTTGGGGGGAGGGGCTGACTCCATATCCTCCGAGGGTGCCCCCTCACTGCCCTCGTCATCGTCCTCCACAGTGTCTGGCACCGATATCGCTCCATTCTGAGTAAACATGTAGTTAGAGTTGAATTTGAGGAAGTAAAAAAAATATATATATATATATACACATGTACACGCACATTTATTTAAAAATATATTTACACATGCAGATATGTGTGTAAATATATTAATCAATATATTTACACACATATATTTATATATGTACATATACTCACATATATATGTATATGTATATTTACATACACATATATTCACAGACTATTGAACATATAAATCTGTCATTACGCCCGTTTTGAAATCACTGTTAATGAGCTCCTAGGAGACCGTGTCCGGTTGGACGTGTGTTCAGTTTCGTCCTCTCTTTGTCTCTGTGAGACACTGGAGAGAATTTAAAAGTCAGGATACTGCGTGTGATTGGATTTGGATGAAGATTAATGAAGAGGTGTTTGTGTGTCCTTGAAAAGTCGGGACAGAAACTGAGCAGGGGACACAGACCAACTAGTCTTTAACTTTGAGTGAAGGTGAATCGTTGAACAGACTCTGACGGAAGGATTTTCATCTGCGTCACTTTGACACAGATTTTAATTGTCTCTGCATAATTGATCAGTTTTGATTTATCCAATATTTACTAAATTAATTGCAGCTCAAAAAAGGTGTTTTTTTTCTTACGTAGATGAAGTTTTGGATGTGAATTCCTGGCTCACAGGGTTTTCACTCTAACCCAGTTCCTGGCTCACAGGGTTTTCACTCTAATCTGGTTAATGAACCCAACACTAATGACCTATAACCCTGACTCTTTTGCAAAACCAGGCAATATAACAGCAGCCCAATAAAAGAAGCTGTAAAGACTCTTCAAAGTGTGTCAACTTTGTTGTCTGGTCATCGGTTCCAGAGGGAAAAGATAACCTTCTGGTTCCTTCAGCCAACGACACCGCGGACACAGTTCTGATGTTGGACGGATTAGACACCTGTTGAGGACTTCTCCTTAAAGAGGAGATTAAAGATTTACACCACAGGCCCAGTGGTTTGGTGGAGGTACTGCAATGGGTTGTACATTGTTTTGCTTGCCAAGGTCAGGGGTCAATCGGTCGATCTTTTTTATATGATGACACATGTACGTATGTCAATTTGTTTATTACAAATTATTACTATAGTATTAATATAGTAAAGGTATACGCAATAATTATTCAGGAATTTGAACGACTCACCTTCAGCTTGTCTTTTTTAATGCATGTGTCAGTGTGTTTAATTTGGTCTGATTGATGTTGAGTTTTTTTTTCTTCTGTTTTTGTTAAAAAAAAACAAGTGAAACAAGAAAACATTTAACGGCAAAATATTAAATTTGAGAAAATAACAAGGTACATTTATACGTCACTAGGCCCGGCTTAAATTGAAAATATATATATAAACATATACTTCTATATGTATATATTTAAATATATATGTATATTTATGTATATTTGTATATGGATATATATATATTTTTTATTTATGGGCTTATTGTCAAAAACGTACCAACGTAAACATACATTATATATACATATATGTATATATGTTTGTTTGCGTTTGTGAGGCCCCGTCTTTACATCAGTCTTTACATCATCATCATCGTCGTCGTGCACTCACCTTCTGGAACACATCGTGGATCTCCTGCAGGGACGGCCTCACGGCGCGGTGACCGCTCAGCGTGCCTTCATTGCGATAGAAATCAATGTTGGGCACTCGATCCAAAGTGTCATGACCGAAGGCGCTGACCACTGAGGGTCTGACCGTCCGGTGTTCGTTTTGATACGAAGGTTCGTCCAGGGTGGCATCATAAGCGGGGTTAACGTGTTCCCCTCCGTTTGACTTCAACCTCTCCATGGGGGCAGTTGACAGAACCGGTCGGATTCAAACATTCAACAACAACAACTTCTACAGCAACCCGACGGCCTCTCACAAAAACATGGACTAGTTTGTTTATCCTTGTGTCCTGACTGTGGAGCCTGATGTGTGATGTTCACAGACGTCTCCTCCTGTCACTGGTTTAAACTCTGCTCCACTCAGGAGGCCTTCATTTATACCTTCCATCCCTGGGATCACTGGCTGGCAGCTATTGGCTAACTCCCTGGATCAACCCACAGAAAAGTGAACCGGGGGTGTCACATACATGTCCTTGCTCCACTCCAGGGGACACAAAGACATTGCTTAACGATTGACCAAGTCATAAAAGGCAGAGCAGAGATAAAGCCGTGCGCTGCCTCAGTTCTTGGAGAATTGATTACTAATATTATTGTCTGAAGTGCAGGGAAGCAGCACATGTTGTTCTTTGGCTGCAGTTTATTGGGTCGGGGCGAACTTTTTTTGGGTGATTCACAGGAAGGAGCGTTCGTCCAGTTGGGAATTTCTAAACATGAAAAAAACTTGTTGGGAACGTTTTGAAAACTTTTACTGAGTTAAAAAAAAAAATCATATTTTAAGTACATGGTGTTAGAAAAATATGAACGTAAAGACAGAGAATGCAACAGAACGGCGGTCAAACATGAGTGACAGTGTGAGAACCATCAGTCATGACTCTGACCTGAACACAGATTAAATCCACATCCATAATCATTTTCCACACAGTGTTGACTGACAGGTGGAACGGCAGGTTCCATGAGGAACACTGGAGTTAATATGAGACCAGGGATTACAGGAAGTGGCTGCAGGCGGTCTCCTGCAGCCCCAGAACTGGTAGACCTCTTCACAGGTCAACTTCCTTATTACTGATAAAACACCTGGAGTTACGCTCTCACTGAAAGGCCGACCAACGTCTTGAAATCTGACCTTGACAAGCACAGAAAAATACTGGAGCACGTGTTTTTATGAGTACTACCAGGAAGTACTACGCAGTACAATGCCATCACATCCAAACTGTCAGAGAGAAAGAAAAAAAACTTTCCACATGGAATGTTTTGACCAGCACCGTTCCCTGTGATCGCCCTGACATAATCCCCGCTCCTGTGTCATAACCTGCGCGGCACATTTTATGGTGTTCAACCCAGATCAGGATCTGGTCTTGTGTAACGTCTCTACTCCTTGTTTGAGTAAGAACTTCTGCTCCTCTCACCCCGTGGAACTTGTTCAAGGTTCCTGAACTTTCATTGTCTCAGAAATAAACGATCAAAGGAGTTCATGAATGATTAGAATTAAGCAAATAATTAAAAAAAAACAAATCAAACCTGCAACATGATCAAACTCAGACATCAGTCATTAAAACCAGTTTGAACTTCTGAACCTTCCTGGTCACCAAGTCTGAACCCTGGCGTTGGGAAAAGTGTTCCGTGGAACGACAGAACAGAAGCCCAGGAACCAAAAGGTCTTGACGTGCCAATAAAAAAAAAAAAGAACTGTGACGGGGTTTCAGTCTGATCTTCAGGTGCCAGTTCTGAGAACTAAGTTGATGTTTGATCATCTGATAGAATCTGGAAATGTGTCTATAAACCAACCGTTCTGGTTATAATAACCACCGACCTGCATACGGTCCACGTTTGCTCTTTACGCATACATGAAAAATCAACGATGAACAAAGGCTGACAACTTTTTTCATTCATTTTCTCCATGTTGCTGTAGAATCTGTAGCAACAAGTTCTAAACGGTACCATCCAAAGGGCTCACACAGAAAAGGAAGAAAAAACAGTCGGCGCCGTTCATCAAAGGTTCTCGCCCCACTGCAGTGAAAAAAAAACCCAGATCAAGTAGAAAAGAACAGAGAGCAGTAGACAGAGTTCCTGATAGTATATCTTCAACGTCTGCAATAAATGAAACAGTAGGGAGTTCATATAGTTGCTCTGACTCTGAGGCCCAGTAGGTGGCAGGCTGCCAGATCCACGCTCTGTCACTTTGAATCTTTTCATTTTCGTATTATCTCTGTGTTGGACCAGGTCTGGAACTCAGATCTGTGACGGGGGTGAAACAGGGTCAGGTCTGATTACAGACTTGTATGTTGGACTCGTGGTCCGTGTTAAATCATATGTGTTGCACACGTCTGTTTAATATTTAATATTCTCGGCCTGGTATTTTACTCATGCAGACATTCATTATACCAGTGGTTCTCAAAGTGTGGGACTGGTCCCCCGTGGGAGACAGGGCTACGGCAGGGGTGGTGCAGAATAGAAACGACGGAGTTTGAAGTTCAGTGAAGTTTTAAAGCTTCAGATACAAAAACATTTAAAGGTAATAATAATAACTGACAGTGGTGATGTCGTTAGCCTTCATTAATCAACAGAAGGATCATCAGACCTGAACACATTGGTTATTGGTGAAGTTATGGGCCGTGTGGACGTCACTCATTAACCCTGATGGCTTTATAATCATTAATACCTGTTGGACAACAACGTCAGTGCAGCCACAGCTGCTGCACTCCAACTCTTCACTCACTTTATTTCTATTGTTTCAAACAGCAGCGGTTGTTGTTGACACTCCCTGTCTGCTCACAGTCAGACAACAACAACATCTGTGTCACTGTTCCCACCGCCTGTAGCTTCTTTTTAGTGTTATTATTTTGTTCAGGATGTCACTGTTCCAGAAGCTTCATTAATCCTCCATCACTGCAGCATTACCGTCGGCCGTCGTATTCCCTGATCTTATCACAACAAATCAAGAACACGGCCGCTGAAGTCCAAAGACTGCGGGTAATAAAACTGATAATCAAAAGCTAAGGTCCACTATCTGAGCTGAGTCATTCTTCCTCCGCTCTGCTGCTGTAACCTTGTGTTCGCTCTGGGAATCTTCCTCACTCCCCCCCCCCCCCCCCACACCGCTCGTGTGTGAAGACGCGGCTGGTTGTCTCTCTCTTTTTGCTTCAATGGGAAAGTGGTTTATGGAATTTTGAATAAATGTCATGTGACGTGCGACCTGATTCCACAATCAGACCTGAAAAAGGAACGTTTGGCGTTTGGGCTGAAACAGGAGGCGCTGTGGACCTTTCTGCTAAAAATAGATCCCAGATAAGGATGTCACCTTGGTGACAGAGATAAAAGTGCAATAATGACTGCGTTCCTGACAGATAATGTGGACTGGGGGAGGGGCTGCTGATGGTTGGATGCTGTGTCACCGGTGACCACCAGGGTGATCGTAATATAACTTAGTAAGTTCTTGGGCTACCGTTGGGTGTTCTTGGAGGATAACTTAGTAAGTTCTTGGGCTACCGTGTTCTTGGAGAGGTACTGGTTTTTAGCGGTTTCAGATATCTGTTGTGCCAATATTGCATACAAACACTTAATTTCTGATTCCGATATAGTCCTGAAAATATTTATTTATTTATCTGTACAAACCACTGTTTGAGTATGACACTTGCACGTAGCATGCTATCGGTCCACTAGCAAGTAGAGTGTTAGCCCTAAAAAGAATCTCTGGAACTCTGCCCAGACACAGTTTGTGAATAAAAATCCCCCCCAAAAATATCTGCCAACAAAGAGTTGGAGAGAAGAAATCCTATTTATTTCACATCTTTAAATCGAATCTATATCAACAAGAAATCTCTACCACCAGCTGAGCAAGCAACAGGTCACAGGATGCACTGTTGGTCATCATGACATGCTACACACAAACACACGCACACATTCATACACACGTCCGTACATTAACAGGTGCTCTAATGTATCTAGATGAAGGCACATAAACCATTGAAGGTCACAGTAAGGCAGATTCACAGCACTAAGAAAAACTGTCGACTGTAAAAATTAGCAAAGAAACGCAGAAGAACTCCACGGCTTCACCGTAACGTCACAGAGTCTCCGCTTCGTCCCGTTTCTGAGCGGAAGTAAACAGGTGAGGATGGATATGGATGACCGAGGAGACACGGCGTCCGTGTGCAGCGTGAACAGACAACCCGCTCCCATGTGACCTTTCTGTCTGAAGCGTTTTTTTTTCCTTGGGAAAACTAGCAGCACTGACAGAGAGAGAGAGACGTTCCTGCTGTTCTCCTGTCCTCGTTCTACACTTCTTTGGCTAAACAAAGCAACAACCATTTCACCACGTGTCAGGCATCGACCTGAACACGTGACACACAGACATCATGGAGTCGTCGTTCATGTTCGGCAGCTGTACAGACCCTTTCAAAATAAGAGCTGATTTTGCATCGTTTAAAAACAGTAACGCCTCATTCAGTGTAATTCACAGTTTGTCCATAGTTTGTCCTTTCACAGCATGATGTCAAAACAAGACAAGACAACACAGAGGGAACCCGCCGCCATGACACGCACCGCACCGCAGCAGCGGCGGCGTCCCTCTCCAACGCCCTCATCGACAGACTGTATTCTGGGTAAGTCCACAAAGTACGAGATGAACGTTATACCCTGTATGAAAGCACACACCACTGGTACATTCTTGTGCAGAGCAGGTTTTTTTCTGTGCAAAGGTGAAGTCGAACTGTTTCTCCTTCTGAAATCACGCTTCACGAGGATTCATGTCCCTGAGTCTTCAGACAGGATGGAGTAATGTCACTGCACCGTCACTCTCCGGTCTGTCCCACCAACACCAGCCAGAGGTCGAACAGGAAAACAACAATGGAAAACACCAGACACCATCAACACAGACGTCCGGACGGTCGCTCCGTCTGGACGGTCGCTCCGTCTGGTGTGCAATGATCATGAGGGGCTGTGGTTCGTGTGCGTTTGCGTTGGTGTAAGCATTGTTTTGTGCGTCCGTTGTGTGTGTGTTCCAGTAGGCACCTCCTTTGACCGGGGGCGTCTGTGGATGTGTGTGTGTGTGTGTGTGTGTGTGTGTATGTGGTACTGTGTTAAGTCAGGGCGTATTCAAACGTTCCCTTCTCCAGTCCTTCGATGCCGTCGGCCCAGTTGGAGGAGGGCATGCTGCTGTAGGGGTCCAGCAGGATCCGGAAACAGCGGACTATCAGCAGCCCCAGGATCACCAGCAGCATCCCCACGAAGGCAAACGTCGTCTTCTGCTCCAGAGTCAGAGAGTGCGCCATCATGTCGTTTCCGCTCATGGCAGTAAGGGAGTGGTTGTAGTGGACGCTAAACATGGTAGACCGGCATCTGGGCGCCTCATCTTTCCTTCAGGAGGGTCAGAGGTCCAGCAGCCTGCATGTTACCTGTGCAAGGATTACAGGACGCCTCCGTGTGAGCAGAGATGGGCCAATCAGATTAAAGCATTCGAATATGAACACACTTCATTTTCCTACTTAGGTTAAGTTGAACTGAGGGAAGTTAAGAAAATACACATCAGGCTGAGGAACGTCGGACTATAAATAGTATCATCACAGAGATGTCCTCTGGAGACTTTGATCTCTCCCTCTCTCCCCCTCTCTCCCTTTCTCTCTCGCTTCGCTCTGCTTTGTTTTGGGTTTTTTTTTTTAGAGAGATTAAAGATGAACAGGAGACTGAGGAAGACTGCAGGAAAATGCAGGACTGAAACCGGCAGCCGGTGACTGCATTCCTTCAGGTCTTGTGAGGGTTACGTTGTGTCGCAGTGCAAAGCCTGCTGTCAAACACCGACACGGCGGTCGTACAAACCACATCACCAAAACACTGCTGAGCTCTGAGGGACGGCTACGTTAACACCTGTTGACTGAGAGCAGACGCCAGTCGAACTGGGATCAGCAGATTACAATGCTTTTCTGAGGGGGTGGGGGTTTGGGGGGTGCGACACAAGTGGAAAGTCCACTGTTAGCTGCTGGACTGTTGGAAAGAACCTGAGCAGCAGGTGGCTGTAGAGAGAGGAGCAGGAGGAGGAAGGAGGGAGGAGATGAGGAGCAAGGACGCATGCAGACAAAAAGAGGATTGGAAGACAGACGAGGGAGTAGAAAGAATGATAAAGAGGGCACCGCACAAGTGTGTACGGTGTGTGTGTGTGTGTGAGGGAAGGGGAGTGGGGGGGGGCAGACTGCAATGACAGATTTTCCAGCACATCCGTCCGTTTGAAAAAAAAAAAAAAAAAATCAAAGCAGGTTCCTCACCGTCATCGTCCCGCCGTCCTCACAGACCTGTTGCTGCGGTGTGTGTCCAGCACCTCCTCCGTCCTGAAGCCCTCAGACGGATGTCCATTATGTCATCACCCACCAGATCACAGACACAGGCTGTGGTCCAGACCAGACCTAGAGATGAGGAGAGGAGCGGAGGAGAGAGGCACAGACACAGGGGTGAGAGCTGGATCCAGCTGCTGGGATGTGTCTCCTCTCACAGAGACGTCTCCTCTCCTCATGCTCCCTCACCCGCTGCCTCCTACTCATTATCATTCTGTTTCTCTGTCTCTCCCTCCAGGAGCACGCACGCTTGCTCCTGCTGCATGGCAACCACTTGTTAGTCTCACTCAGCTGCTCTGCTGCCTCACTCATTCACAACGCTGCCCTCCACCCACTCCCCCACGACACCGTTACAGATGCAGCAGTGGCATAAACACACACGCTACGCCTCCTCCCCCCCTTTTTCGCCCCTTCCCCTCAATCCACTTCAAGACGAGGCAGAGAGTGGATCTGCCTGAAATGACTCCACCAAAAATGTTACGGGATCAACACGGTTAAACTCGGAGGAGAAATGCTGCCTCTCACTGCTCCTGGCCAGTAAAGGTTTAATGTACTTTATACAGCCATATTACTGCACCTGTCCACATATATATACATATAAGTATAAACAACACATATATACAGTATATATACACACATATATACATATATTTTTATATATGTATCTATGTGTATATATACATACATATGAATTATAAATATGTATAACATATAAAATATAAAAAATCCACAAAGACAACAGCATGTTTTATATATTATCTTGTTTCTTTTTCTGGCGTCACCTACAGCACAGTCCAGGTGAAAACTGTATCTGTGTTGAAGTCCAGACTTCGCCGCTCTCCTTCAAGCCTGTAGTTTAGCCTAGCTTCAGCCAGTCTCGCGTGGCTGTCGAACTTTGAACCTTTTCAATAAAATGCGGGGTCATTGTTCTGTAACTGCAATCCCATTTAGTGGAAAAGTTTTTCTTATTATTATTACATCACAGCCTGCAGCTGATGCAGGATGAATATCCTGTCCAGTTACATCGATCACCCGTCAGTTAGACACAGTGTCTAATCATATTCACCACATTCTGTCAAGTTTTTCTTATTTTAATTTTTTTTTGTATTGACAACTGACAGATATCTGATCTTAGATTAGAAAGAAATCAGGTAAATGTTTATATGAGATGTAGTAGCCCATGGTAACCCACTGAATGTACTGATATTATATGTGTATTTATTATACATATGCTGTGCACGTGCTACATGCTCTTTGTCATTATTAGTTTGTGAAAACCAACTTGTTGTACGTACAGTTTGAATTGACTTTTAAATTTGGAGGACAGTTCTTATGAATCAGTATTTATTGTTCCTGTCAAATAAGGTCTTAAAATAAATAAATTCCTCATTCTTACAAAATAAAGTTTCTGCCTCTGCTCTGCCCTTGGCCCTGGGGTGGGGGGGCAGCCCCCGGCCAAGCAGTTAAAGGATTAGTTTTATGACCGGAGGATTGCTGTTTCTAATCCCAGCCCGGGCAGGATTGTGGTGTTTTGTGTGAGCACTAAACCCCCCCCCACACTCTTTACTCCTTGGGGGCAGCAGGGCCGGCGTCACCCGCAGCTGCAGGGGGCAAATCTGTGGTGTGTTTATGTGTGTCTTTGACAAATGACAAATAAAGCAGCGTCTTCTAGAAAGAAAAGGAGAAAAGGAAAAATAAGGTGGTGTGAACACATTAACGTGTGGACTTCCCTGATAAGGTGTCGCAGCCCGGCGGCTGAGCCCTGAGTTTTAATCCATCACGGCCATGTGGCAGTCGCTGGTATCACGCGATCGTGCAATCAGCGCATGTGAAAATTGCCAAACGTACGGTGACAAAACGTTGAACTTTTGGAACTCCAGCTCTGCAAACAAGTGCAGCCGTCAAATATTTTTCTTTTACCTCATGTGAAGGTGTGCTCCGCCGGTGTGGGTCGTGGGCCTCGGCTCAGACGGAGGGATTTGACCAGTGTCCATACTGTACGCAGAAGGATAATGATAGTTGGACTTATCTTAGTCAGACAACGGGTCCAGAACAAACCAGATAGTGAAAATATATGTAACCAGGATTCTGTCGAATGCTTGTGCAAATGTTTGTGAGTGATAATCAAGGAATAAACTAATAAATGAACTTTATATAATCTTATGGTTCCTTTCAGCCTGAAGATAAGTTGAAGGTCCTCGGTGAAGTAGTGATAGTCTTATCAGACGCAGGAGGCCGTCTGTGATTGACACCATTTTTGTATTATTAACAACACAGGACTAAATCTAAAGTGGTTACTGTCACTACTGTCAGGTGTCTTTCTTCAATGAAAGTGGTTACTGTCACTACTGTCAGGTTTGTGAGTGTCTTTCTTCAATATCTGCTAGTATATTGGCATTGTCTTCAACTAAACAGGCCAAGATTTTAGTCAATTATCAGGTCATATGAACCAGAAGATTATTATATATTTCCTGATGATATATATGTGCCGTGGCTCAGCAAAGGTTGGGAAACACTGGTCTAAGGACCACAGAACTGTGTGTGTTTTTGTGTTTAGGAGTCTGGAGGAGTCCAGCCAGGCCATGGCAGAGGAGGGAGGCTTTTTGGCACAGACTGTAGGACAATAGATCCAGAGGCCAACTTTGGCTGCTACAGCAGAATAAGAATCAACAAATGTACTCAGCTGCTTAAATGTATGGCTTATGGCTTAATTAAGGGAGCACAAATAATTACAAATGTACATATCCATCAAATCAACCCAGCAAATGTGTTTTTCTTTTAATGGCTGTGGCATCTGCTCAAACATGCTGGGAATTATTTCCTATGATACTGGGCCACTATGTACTGCAGAAAATACTACAGAAAACACCCAGTACACAGTAGATTTAGTGGAGCAAAGTGCATCGATCACTGAGTTCAACAATGATGAACTGACTTGGGCCCTCATTAAAATACTTGTTGCAGTGTGTGTTTTAAATGACGATTTTGCAGTGTTGATTAACAAACTTTATGTTTCTTTCTGAAATGGTGAGATGTTGTTACAAATTAATCCAATTAATTAGAGCCATTGTTAATTGTTATTATCTTAACTTTTATTTTTAATTCGTTTCTATCCAACTTAATTTTGGTTGATTACATTTTCCATCTGTCTGCTACATTCACAGATGAATCCAAATTTATAATCTGTTGTTTAGAATCTGTTGTGTTAAAGGTGGAACCACAATGTACACCTCTGTAGTCACCGCAAAAGAACGCCTTGTGGTTATTTAAGATATTATGGTGCTACAATATGACTGTCATTGATTAATCACAACAATTGCACTGTTTTTAAATGGATTTACTTGACATAATATTTAAGATGTTTTAATTCAAATACATCTGGATTGAAGACAGTGTCAATAAACAGACATCCAGGTGAAGTTAAAGAACACACCTGTTTGTTGTTTTTTATTTCTCTGTGCATGTTTTTAAATCTGTGTACTACTTTCACAGATTAGTGCAAAATAACAGTACAACTACAGCTGTTGTAGCCTGGAGACTTTTTTTTATGCTTTTTTGAGTCTTATAATTTGGCTAAAACCCCAGAATTATGTATTGGTGGATTAAATATATTTCAATTTAAAGCCTTTGTGCCTAAATAAAAAACAGAAACCTGTTTTATTCCCCTAAAGCCCATATTTACTGTATTTAACAACAAAGCTACAAAAACATAAATAAAATAAAAGGCATAAACCAATTGCAAAAATTCTATTCTATTCGCGCGGGCTGCCTGGCAACAGCTCCCAAATCTCGCGTTACAACCGCAAACATCATCTGCACATTTTGAACTGCGTAGCATTGGGCACATCTTGCGTCGTTGCCGCTACAAGCAAGCTAATTCCGACATGGCAGATGTTTTAACCCTGGACGAGGAACCGAGGCAAGACGACTCCACTGCGTCTGTGAAATCCGAAAACGACGAGACCTCCGAGGAGACACCCAACGGCGTGAAAACGTAGGTTATGGTTGGCGCCCCCTGTGACGCCGTTAGCATGACTAGCTAAAGTGAGTCGTTGGGTTGCTAAGCTGTTCTCGGTTACGATGGAATCTGTATGAATTTATGCTATATATACAATACAATGCAATACCAATGTATACGAGTGGCACGTTACTAGTTCATAACGCCTGCGTTTAGTTAAGTGTGTGTTAAATGTTTGTCGTGCTAAGCTAATATGTTCATGTCCAGCCCGCATGAAGCTTATGTTTTGTCAAAAAGCTACATTAATCAAAAATAACGTGCAAAGTTGACAGACAACTGAAACACAAGCGTTAGCAACTGACGTTAGCATCGTCGTTGTAGACGGAGGAGATACTGGTGGGATGTCAAAAGTACTGAAGTTCAGCTCTTTAACCAACCGGGCTGATCGATGAAAGTATAGATAATTTTTAATTCTCATTGATTACAATTTCTACTCAGGTATTTGATGTCATGCCCTATGTATTTAGTAATCAGTGCAGATTCTGACAATAAAACGGACACAGTACATTAACTTCACCAAGTTTAAATTGTTTGATTTATTTGCCTACATTACTGTGTATGGTCGAATAATCACAAGGTAAAAATAGTCCACTGCTTTTATTGCATCTACTTGGCTACTGTGTCATAATTATTATTATCTTATTTATTTATTTTTTCATATTTGATGTTAAAGTTCCCTGTATTAGACATGATAGTTAGTAATGTATTTCTCTGGACCTGGTTTTATAAACCTGTTTTCATTATTATAATAATACAAAGAAAATAACCACAGCAGAGTTGGTACATTTTATACTGAGGAGGGGGTGCTCAGTATCTGACCTGGAGCTTTTTGTTTTCTCCTGTGTTTTTAGAGACACTGATGAAACCAAGCCTCCAAAGGAGAAGCAGGATGGTAAAGAGAAGTCCTCCGGCAGCAGGAGAGGAAACCGTTACCATCCATACAAAGACAAACATGCTGCAGAGAAGAAGGGTGCACACAGAAACCGCGTGTTTATTAGCAACATCCCTTATGATATGAAGTGGCAGGCCATCAAAGACCTGATGAGAGAGAAAGGTAATGTCCCCGTTGAGTGGGAACTGTTTTGCCCAATTCTCTAACTTTAGGAACTTAAAGAGTTCTTTACACTTTCTGCTTGTTATTTGACAGAACAGTTTCCTTCTAGCAGCAGTAAAGTAGCTCGTATCGTTTTTTTTTTTGTCTCTTTTCTGGACTTTCATGTCTTCTAAACCTTCAAGGCCCAACATAGTTTGACGTTATGCTATTGGATTTTTAGTCCATCATTTTGGACGGACTCTAATTTAGTTTGGGTTGATATGTGTGTGAGAAATGGACCTAGTTATATTGTCACTTGTTTTATGGCATTGTCAGCTCTTAACTGTAACCTCACACCAGTAGTAGTAACTACTGACTGTTGAAATATTCCTGTTGCCTCTGTTGTGAGGTGAACCCTTAATGATATGAATGAAAATGTCATGTGTAATCCTTGAACTGCTATGGTCTGATGAGCCTTTAAAAAGGTCAAGGGGCAGCTGCAAACTTTCACCTTTCTTTGTTTTGACAAAACTGATCATGTTGAAGTGTTTTGAATTTCCCAGGTCTATGTAGCTGTGTTTCTCTCTGGGCCTTGGCCTTTGTGTGTCTTGGTCATTGCCCAGAAAGGCATGGTGTTGTCTGGGATGTTGGTCTGGGCTGACCGTTGATCATTAATTGGACATCTCCATCAGTAGCGGCATTGCCAAGGCCAACTGCGACTTGAAGACTTGGTGATATAAAACCTTTGTTCTTTTGGTATTTTTCCCTTGTATGTCTCATGTAGTTGGTGAGGTTACATACGTGGAGCTCTTTAAGGATGCAGAAGGAAAGTCAAGGGTAAGTGATGTGGCCAAATTGCTGCACGAGGTTTTAATGCCCTCAGCAGGCTCTCATTAAACTAGTGCTCTCCCAGGCTCTGACACTTTGGGTCTCACCATGTTACTGAATTGTATTTACCTTTGGTTGTTACTACATCTGACAGACGGCTAATGATCATTAATCATTTGAAAGGGAGATGTCCTGTTGATTTTGGAAAAAGCCTTGAGCCCACTGAATCTCTCCAAGTGAATACTTTTGCTTTTGTTGTTGTTAATTTAAATTGGGTCCAAACGTTTGTCTCTTTGGTCAATTTTCCACTGGAACATGTGGGTTTTGGGGACTTGTCTCACTGATTGACCCCGTGTCTCAAAATCTTATTTGGACAATGTTGGTTCCTGAACCAGCTCTCATTTCTGAGGAACAAGGCAGTCTGGCTTTTGTAAATATATATTTTTTATTATTATTACTGTTATTATTATTACTATATTAAGTGGTAAAACTGTTCATCTCCAAATGTGGTATTAAAATGTAAATCCCGACCAAAGTGTAAAATATTTTTCCATAACGTTATATTTTACTATTTTAGAATGCGTAGCTGTTTGTTAGTGCCACGTCATGCAGTATTAACTTGTGAGTTTGTAGTATCCTGCTACTTCATGGTTATAGATTGTATTTCCATTGTTGTCTCACGTCAGTCTGCACATGTGGCCGACGTGCACTCTTAAACCTCGGGCATGTTGATACATTCAATTTGAAGGTTTTGTAGAATTTTCTGGATCGTAATTGTTTTCTGTTTACTTCCTGAACTTTGGACTCTGGTTCATCCTGGACTTTTGTGACTTCCGTCATCAGGGCTGTGGGTAAGGAAACATCACAACTTTTTTTTATATTCACTTATAGCTAACAAGAAATGTGTAATTTATTGTTTACCTGCTTGGACAGTGTGGTGGAATTCAAAGATGAGGAGTTTGTGAAGAAAGCAGTGACGTCAATGAATAAACATGACCTGAATGGAAGACCACTCACCATCAAAGAGGTGGGCAACCGTCCTGACAGGAAGACGGGAAAAACATTTGATGTTTTTACTCTAAAGTTGTACTACATTCTTATGATTTACTTCTTGGAATGCAGTACCACCCCACAGTGCTGTGGATCTAAAGCTAAATTCCCACATTTTCCCTATGGAACCAGGACCCTGATGGGGAACACGCAAGGCGTGTGCTGCAACGCATGGGTGGAACTCAACGTGGAGGCCGGGGGCAGGAAATGGGCAGCGGTGGAATGAACCTGCCGCCATCGATTGTCAACAATCCCAACATCCAACCAGATGTCATCCATGCCCTACAGGCGGGGCGATTGGGCAACACCGTGTTTGTAGCCAACGTGAGAAAATAAAGTAAACTGTTGTGAAACACTTTAATAATGTAAATGAAAAGAGGTTAAATACCCCCCTCTTCACAGCTGGATTTCAAGGTTGGCTGGAAGAAGTTGAAGGAGGTTTTTGGCATGGCCGGCACAGTGAAACGAGCAGACATCAAAGAAGACAAAGAGGGCAAGAGCCGCGGGATGGGAACGGTGACTTTTGAGCAGTCACTGGAGGCCGTGCAGGCCATATGTATCCTAACAATGTAACAACCAGAGGAATGTTAATGTTGAAACCACTAGCAGCACAAAGTTTCACATTTTCAGCAGACTTTCTCCTTGACTCTCAGCTCAGCCATGTTTAACGGACAAATGCTTTTTGACCGACAGATGCACGTGAAAATGGTGAGTTGATTTGAAAAAAAAAAAAAGAAGTAACACAACAAAAAGTTCAATGGAAATTTGAATCATTGTGTGTTTTCTATAGGACGATAAATCTCTACCACCTGATGATTTCCGTCAAGTAGAGAAATCGCCTCAGTTACCAAGTGAGTGAATGGTTGTCACTTCTGTGACATCAGTTTGTTCAGTATCACACTGTGGAGTCAATTACATTCCTCTAATGTCTAAACTTGGTCTTCAAGTGCAATCAGTTTCTTTAATGTTATTTGATGACCGTGTTCTACTTTAATTTTAGGGGGTCTCAGTGGTATTGGTATGGGACTGGGTCCAGGCGGTCAACCCATAAACGCCAATCGTATGGGTGGTGGTGGCAGCATGGGATCCATGGGTCCTGGAGGTCAGTGTCATGTCTAGAATATTTTGTGAGGAAGTGCAGTAGGAAAAGTCAATCACAGGTGATATTTATACTGAAGGAATTATGAGTTGTTATCAATGATAAGCGACTGCATGTGTGTGTTCTGGGCCACCGTTAATTAAAACCTTTGAACGTCATTAATATGTCAGCCAACAATCCATCACCCTCAGGTCTGACGTTGACGTGGTTCTTCTTTAGACCCTGCTCCAGTCTGTGTCACAGAGATAAGGAGTCAGGACCAGCTGACGGGGATGGGCTTTATGTAAATGTAGAGGAGTTATATGTAAAGTTGACGGTGTAGTATTTGATAAAGAATGTCCTGTCACGACACCGTATGGTCTGGGTTACAGAGGTCTACCTGGATTTGTGCTCTCAACCTTTGAACAGTATTTGATCATTAGTCTAAACGCAGTTCATTTTTATAAACGCCCAGTAAATGTGAGTAGATAAGGCCGATCCTGATGACATGACCCTCACCCTGACCATGACCTTTTCTGTACGACAGGCATGGACGCTGCAGGTTATGGTGGCATGAACAGGATGGGAGGAGGTAAGGGTTCTGTTGAGTTTGTTGGTTTTTTTTTTTTAAACCTGTTGGCCTGAGGATGAGGTGAACATGAGAACCGGTTTTTATCTTCTCAGGTATGGGCGGTGCTGGTTTCGGCGGCATGGATAATGTTGGCAACATGGGCAACTTTGGAGGGAGAGACATGACGCATGTGGGCAGGATGAATGGTAGGTGTATATGTATTTATACTGTGTATATATTTATATATACAGTATTTCTACTCACTGAGATCTAAGGTATTTTTTTCAAATGAGGTTATGTAAATGCTCATAATGACATGGAAATTGTGATTTAATAAATTGTGCAGCATTGTGTTAATGTAAAACACCCCCCACACCCGTCTTGTGTGTCTAATATATATTTTTGTGTATCTGTATATATGCATCTATATAAATGTGTGTGTTAGTATATACATGTATGTGTGTCTGTATTTATCGATACATATTTATATACTTAATATATAAATATTTGACAGTGTGAAAGTTTACACTTGGGTCAATCCTTAATCTAAATGATCTTCTTCTGGTTGTAGACATGTACCGGTCAGGAATGGGAGGAATGGACCGGGAGTTTGGCCACAACGACATGCCAGTAAACAGAGGGTTTGGAGATTCTTTCAGTGGGATGAGTGAGTAACCCGCTGTGTCAGGGCACCGTGCTGTGTTTGTGGTCTGGTTTGTGGTTTTAACTGCCTTCATTTGAATTGACTTTCAGGTGGAGGTTATGGTGGTGGCGGTGGCGGCGGCGGCATGGGGCACATGGGAAGTGGAATAGGTACAGACGACACTCTGCTGCGCTCTCTGTGATGGCAGGACTGTGTCACAGTGATAATAATAAGTGTGTGTGTGTTGTGTGTAGTGTCAGTTACGTAGACGATGAAAAACTATAAGATTGTGGGAGGAGTCTGTTTTAACTGTGTCAGAGGTGGAGATAAACCGGTTGAATAAGTCTGAGCTGAAACCTTCACCACTAAGATGGTATGTGTTTGTCATTTGCAGGTAGTGGAATGGGGAATATGTCAATGGACCGAATGGGCTCCAACTTTGACCGTATGGGAATGTCAGGAATGGACATGAACCGCGGCTTTGGCTACGGAGGTGGAGCACAGAGTCACATGGGCGGAGGTCTGTCTGACCGAGGCTCTGGGTCCAAAGCCGGCTGTCAGATCTTTGTGAGAATGGTAAGTGTGCGTCTGTGTGTGTGTGTGTGTGGTGGGTGAGGGTGTATCTTCTTATCAGCTGATCCACTACATTATTGTTGAGCAGATGATGTCACTGAAGTGGAATGTCATTGATTAGGATATTGTTGTCACCTAAACTTGTTTAAATTTGTTTAGTCAGTTCTACGGTGGCCCTGAAGGTCAAAACACATCGACATTACAAATTATGGGAAGGGGAAGGGACGACACATTCCAGTGGGGCCTTCACTGTCCTAGGATAAAACTGAATGACGCCACCGTACCAAAAGTTAAACCATTGACCAAACGACATTTGTTGTGTTTGTTTATTTATAATAATAATAATAATAATAATCAGAACATTGTCCGTCCCACACGAGGGGAATTGTTGTGTAAACAGCAGGCTGTCACTAGGAGGTCCCTGGCATATGGTTCCTCTGGGGTTCGAACCCAAGACCTTAAAGCAGGCGTGATGACTACTACACTGTAGAAGAGTATGTCACCTTCATATACACAGTACTCTCTGAGCCGTGTAGACGTGCAGTCTCCCTGTGTCAGAAACCGATTGGCTAATTAGTTGGAAGGTTCATGACCTTTATGACCTCCATGACTAACCAACAGGGTACTGTGGTGTCACCTGTGTCGTGTGAGAAGACTGAAGTGACCTGTTTCTGTTGCAGCTCTCCTATGACCTGACGTGGCAGAAGCTGAAGGAGAAGTTCAGTCACTGTGGTACGTTGTTGTTGTTGTTGTTGTCGTTGTTTTTATTCATTTTCGTTTTTAATTTTATCTGATTTTCGTTTTATCGATCAAACACTCTCTGAGTCGACAACTTCTTCAGACATCTTTGTGCCTTGATGCTTGTCACCGCAGGTCAGGTGATGTTTGCAGAGATCAAGATGGAGAACGGGAAGTCCAAGGGCTGTGGGACAGTGAGGTTCGATTCCCAAGAGAGTGCAGAGAAGGCCTGCAGGATGATGAACGGAACCAAGATCAACGGCCGGGAGGTAGACGTGCGCATCGATCGCAACAACTAGAGTTTTTCTTAGGATCGGACACAATTCCATATCCCGTCCTTATTTTTGCCACCTCTGAGTTTGTTTTGTTTTAAAAACACAAAATACTTTACATCGCCATGTTTAAAGATCATGGGTTTTCTTGGTTATGTACACAGTACTTTATAGTTATGTTATGGGGTTTTTTTTTTGTAAACACTTTTCAATTTGTCGGGCAGTTTATTTGTACAAATAAACTTTTTAATTTTTAACCCTGTTGGTTTGGAGTGTCTTTGCGTAGACGAGTGTCGTATTATTATTGGTCAACACTGCCACCCAGTGGCCTCTTTAGTATTTATTAATGTATTTAACCATATATGTTTGTACAAATATATAATATATGCATATATACATATATTTGTGTGTATTATGTACACTATAGATGTATGTATACATGTTATATATAAACTGTGTGTAAATATATGTATATATATAAATCTAATTTAAATATTAAATACAATATAACAAAAAACGTATTAAACACTTTATATGTGTGTGGTTTATGTGATAGAGAACACACAAAAAGTCTAACTGTCAGCATATTAATTCTCATAATTATTGAAACCTGAAATTATGAGGGAAACAAAGCAGATTTTTTTTTTACCATTACCAAAACAAAACTATCTCCCAGTAATGATCTGAAACCTTTGTGTTTGTGATGCCTGTTAAGACTCCAATCACTATAAATTACTTAGAATATACTTTTTTCCTTTTTGTTGCAGCTCAAGGTTCCTTTCAAGTTTTGTAGAGTTAATGATGAACAACTGATAAAAGCTTTTTGTGACTTCAGATAACCTCGGCCGTGGGGATTTCTGATTGTTTTTTTTCACTCTTCATGGCTCATTTCAACACTTGTAGCCGTAAAACCTTATCAGTTAGGCAGTTAGGTAAATGGCTACCATTGATTCAGTCACACTGACTGTCATAAATTTATTGAGTCGTGGCATTCAGTCCCAGCCTTGTAGAAAAACTGTCCTTTTTTCTGAGAAGCCAAGAAATGATCTGTAGCCATGACACAGCGGCGTTGTGTGAACTGACATTTCAGTTTCTTGCTGTGATCGAACATTTCTGACACAGATTGTTGCTTTCCTTTGACGTCTCCGCTGACTTGTTTGGTCCCAGAATGTCCCCGTCAACTGTGAAGTCAGTCCCTGCACAGCGTCAGGGGATTGTTTCCTATAATCCCCAGTTCGTAGAGTATGGCCAGAGTGGCGAAGAGGATGTAGCAGATGAGGGAGACGATTCCCAGCTTCCAGTCCAGTCTCCACCCGTTGACATGAACAGCCACGAAGAGAAAGACGATGGAAAGCAGCAGAGTGGCAGAAATGAAGAGCAGCCCGGTGCTGTTGACCTCCACGGGGTTGTTGGTGTCCACGAAGGCGGTCTTGATGAACCAAGGCAGGCCCAGACACAGCATGTCGAACACGTTAGAGCCCACGATGTTGGACATGGCCATGTCGGCTTTCCCTGTGGAGACAAAGTTTATATTATAGAAAATATTTATTCAGCCTGTAATGAGCTGGTCTTTTAGCTGCCTGTTTTAATTATTTTATTGTTTATATTTTGACTTGTTTATTTTTTAATTATTTTATTGTTTATATTTTGTCTTGTTTATTTGGCTAACTCTTAGTCATTGTCATTAATTATGTTGCTTGGAATAAAGTAGTGTCTGCCTCTTATTTGTTTGTATATTTTATTTATTTTTGTTTATTTCTATGTATGTTTTGCTAACTTTTAGCTCAATCTGCTATTCCTTTTCCTTTTCCTCATTTTCTTGTCTTGCTTTGTTAGTTCCCTGACTCACCAGTTCAGCTGTTCTCAACTGTGGTGAAAATACCAATGGAACACCAAGTGCACGCTGGGTAATAAATCCTCAGATTTGTTCATATTAACTGTGACAAGTTAATTTCACAGCCACTGAACTGCTGTACTCTGAGCTAACGTGGTTGTCCTTTACCTTCTCTGGCCACCATCACACTGGCCACTGTGTCAGGTATACTGGTCCCAGCAGCCAGCAGCGTCAGGCCCATCACTGTGTCAGGGATGCCCAGTGTCTCGCCTGAGCAGAAGAAAAAAAAAACACTTCAAATTAGATTCTCCATGTTAATGATTTCATTTTCTTAACAACTTGAAAACAACCCAAAAAACAAGGACGGGGTCAGGATTCAAACCGGCAATCCTATAACCTCTGTATAAACTGTGTATTAAAACAACATATTAATAATAATTCAGTCCCTAATTTGTCTCACAATGGGGACATTTACAGTGCAACTCACAGGCCGCCACTGGAGGCATCATTAAATATGTGGTTGCAACTCATGTGGTTTTTCTGGGGCTCGAACCCAGGACCCTCTATGTGTAAGGCATGTTAGGCAGTCATGCTAACTGCTTCACTATGGAACAAATGTATTCTAAATATTGATCTGATTAATTTCACAAATAATTAATGTGATTATTTTGTACATTTTGACAGCCCAAATATAAATCTACCTGAAGGGGGCACTGTGGGGCTGATAAAATACAATGTATTTAAAGAAGCCAATCCTGTCTGTGTCCACCAGCCGGTGGGTCTCAGACCTGGTGGGCACCTGTTGGACTTCAGTCCTGTTCTTTCACGTGACCCGATGGTGGTACTACTACAGTAAACTAATCTCATTATACTTCAGTTGAACTGCTGCCATCACATGATGAAACTGTGCTGTGGGCCTGATCCTGGGTCAGTGACGGTGTCTGTGATGCTGTTCTCAGCCCTGTGCTCTACGTCCACCCACTGTTCACATGACTGTTCCCTCGGGGGGGCAACTGCTGTAATCCCGGGTCTGGGCGAGCACACGGAGCTACAACAACGCCCCCCCTCAACTTCCAGGGACAATGGCATCTCAGGAATTAGGCAGCAGACCGACATGTGATTCTACTCCGTTAATCAGACGACTTATTTCTCACAAGTTTCAAACACTTGTGATCCAAAAAGGCCGAGCGGAGTCGGGCTGCTTCCTGTTTGACGCCAAAGAGAAAAGACACAAACGTAGAGGGTGAAGAATCGGTACCGACCTACAACAGTCACCATCCACACCAGCAGGTATGTGAAGCCTGAGATCCAGACTGCAGACATGATGAAGGTCACCATGAACCACTGTTTCCAGAACCTTCTCCTGCAGTCTGGGATGGTGAGGAACAGCAGAGTGATGATGGGGAGGGACAGAACCCACAGGATCCTCCGCAGATCGTTCTCTGGCACCGAGAACACACTTTTACCCTGTTCTGGGAGAGAAACAGAAAACGAACATCAGTGTCATGAAGAAATGTCTTCATCACTACCATCATCATCATCATCATCATCAACATCCTTTGTTGTCTTTGTAACCTCAGGTTCATCTCTAGTTTTCTGACATGAGTTCTAGACCAGGCTGCTACGATGAGTGAACATGCATAAACACACAGAAAGTACACACAAACCAGTACTGTACCTGGTCCACGGTGATACTGAGAACTTCACTTTACCTTCAGGAATCTCGTTGAGGCCGTGCAGGCTGAGGGACAGGTGCGAGTATCCAGAGTCGTCCTGGAAAATTCCACTGTCGGTTCTGGAGCGGCTGTGGATCCTCAGACTGCTGTCGTCGTTCCAGTCCACCAGGGGCTGGTTCTCGTTCTTCTGCCCTGATCTGTTGCCCAGGCAGGTGCAGCACGGACTCAGCTTCCTCAGCACAAACTCACTGATGCGAAGGTCAAAACACAGAACCATGATGTAGAGGCCGTAGACCAGCAGGAGCGAGGCAGCCTCGTACCTGGTACCAGGAGACACGTAGCATTATTCTCCCCAATACAAAGAAAAAGAAACGTTCTGCTAATCAAAAGGATGAAAGCAAAATAGCGCTACCCAAAAAACGGATAGCCAAAATAAAAATATTTAACAACAAAAAGAAATGTAAAACCTAAAGAGTAATTTCAAATCCACTCTGAAGCAGAGCAAAAAAAGTCCCCAAAATAGATCAAAGTTACTCCAGTTATAGTGAACTGTTAACCAAAAAATTGCAAAATTGCACTTGAAATAATGAAAAATAATCCCCCGAAAATGATAGTAGTAGATGGCTATAAGAACTCTGTGTATGTTTTTCTTCAATCCCTGTGAGTCATTCAGTGATGTGTTCAACTAAACAGGCCCAGTCAGAAATTTGGTAATATATTGAAACTAGAAGAATTTTATATTTCATTAAATATACTTTTGTAACATTTTTGTTTAGTGGTGCTCTGTGGGATTTCTGGAAGACAGTTGGGAAACACTGGTTTATGAGTATAAATCTATGGTTCTCCACTGTCACAGAGAACAATAAACAGCCTTTTATGGCCGCCTCATGCACGGTGGTGCAGGAAGCAGGAGCGCTGATAATGTAATGATTTCCTGATGTTGTGTCAGTGTGTAGAGTCACACACACTCACCAGTACACCTGGTTATCAGCTATGATCGCAATGACGGCAGAGACACTGAGGCCGTATGCCAGGCAGTCCCTGAACAGAGGCCAACAGGTCAGACGCCCCACCTGAGCCAGGAGGAAAAAAACAACAACAAACGTTTTACAGCGTGAACAACACTGAGTCACTGTCACCGTGACTGGAGTGTACACAGTGTACAGTCCACATTTCTATGACTCTCCGTACCATTGAGGCCAGGAGTCCACAGGCTGCACAGATACCCAGTAAGTTGTAAACGGCCGAGCCGACGATGGTGCTGACGCCGATGTCTCCCTTTGTTACAAACACACCTAAAAAAAAGACAACGCTGATGTTTTACATCGGAATTTCATCTTCTTAGGCAGAAATACTGCTTCATGATAACTTTGATAATTTACTGCTCAAATTCATTTTCAATTTATTGAAGCAATGAATGAAGACCAAAGAAGTCACTAAGGTCCACTAGGGGGAGCTCCAGTCAAACCAAGCAATGTTCAGACAGGGACAAGATTTCTTTGTTGCTTTCTCTTATGAGCCGTGGCCCACTACTGTGCCGTGAGAGATCATTAGATGAATATAAATATTTTTTCTTTAATGCAATTAAATCTTCTTCCGCTAGGTGGCAGCAGATGGTTATTAAAACTAAAATAGATAAAAAAGATAATCAGAGCTGTTGAAGAAAATCTTTGTCTTTCTTCAATTCCTGTCAGTATACAGCCAACATTTTAGTCAATCATGAGGTCATTTAAACTGGAAGATTATTATATTTCATTACATAGACATTTTGTGAAATTTCTGTTTGGTGGTGTGCCGTACAGTTTTTGCTGATGATATATACAGTATGTGCTGTGGCTAAAATCAGGTTTGGAAACACTGGTCGATGTATGTAAAAAAACAGGCAGTTAGGCTCTTAATGACTTCCAGGTCACACTTATTTCTATGAAAATACAATCTTACCCAGAAAGGCAGTGACCAGTTCTGGAGCAGAACTCCCAGCTGCCATAAAAGTGGCCCCGGCTACATCCTGAGAAAGTCCTAGACCTGAAGAGGAACCAGGAAACATCACTGTAATTCCAATGTCTGCATCCAGTGATGCAAATGCAGATGTTGGAACGCCAGAAAAAAAAAATCCAAACCCATAGTCTATCTCATGTGTTTATCAATGTGTGATCAGTGAAAGCTAAAAAAATAGGTGTAAAAATACACCTCAAAATTAACCTAAAGACTTGTTAAAAGACAACATAAATAGCCTGAGCTAATAAAACAACAATAAAACATTAGACCTGAAACAAGATAAAACCAAAATGCAAGAGAGAAATACAAATAACCTGTGATTGATAATGTTCCTCTAATATTAATGTTTTATTGTATTTCATTATTTAATTCCATTCTGTCCTAGTCTTTCCTGTTTGCGGCGGTCACGTCACGTCACGTCACTTACGTTCACTGATGACTTCCAGAGATGGCAGGAAATAGTCGTCACAGACTATGGCGACCGCCAGGAGCATGTAGAAGATGAGCAGGAAGTAGATGACCAGACCGCCGTCCTTTCTCTCCTGCACTGTGAAAAAGCCGTCTGGGAACTCAGAGGACTGCGGGGCGATGCATTCAGTGTCATTCTCTGAAAACAGCAGACGGCACACACATTATTCTCTAGAGCAGGGGCTTCAACCCGTGGCTTCTGAGCCACATTTGACTGTGTTGGCTGACTGTAAGGTTAATGTTATTGTTTAGTCGTTATTCTGGTCCTGGGACCAAATAAATGCAGATTATATGAACTAAAATAATGTGTTTTAATCCTTACCCAGCTCTAACTTTTTTAGTCTTTCCTGTTTTTTCCCTCCATTAACATATACTAATAAAATAAATAACACCAGGTGTCAATCTGAATCACTTCTTCTTCTTCTTCTTTTTTTTTGCTTTGGTAAAGCCCTCTGACCCATTAAAAACTAGTCTGTTGTTCACTTTTGGGTTGCGACCCACAACTTGGGAATGACTGAAAACCTTACACACTGCACGAACGCCATCATTCAAACAGTTTAAATGTATTCGGCGGTAAAATGATCAGTTCCAGACAGTTCCAGACTGTTCCCTGCTCCGCGGACTGACAGCTGTGGTCGACCGTGGCTGAAGGTTTGATTCCTAATGACATTTTCACGGTGCTTCACGCCAATCAGACGCGATGATTTTCAGAACAAACACGGCCACCCAGCCGCCCACAGCAGTCACAGGCCGTGACATTACCGTGACACGTCGGGCAGATTAGAAAGTGGACCAGTGATTAACACGGACCTCGGTCACAGATGTTGATGTGATTTTCTTACCCAGAGCCCGACGTTTCCTCCGCGTCTGCTGCGCTGCATCTGCTGTGAACGAGATCAGCTGCACCGTGCAGTAGAGAAAGAGAACGAACCCGAGGAAGTAAGGAATAAAATCTCGTCTTTTCTTCTTCTGTGGAGTGGCGACTTTATTCATTGTACTTCCAACTAATTTCAATTAAATTAAAGCAAATCAAATTAGCGCGTTATCTGTAGTTAGATGTGGTGAGGAGAAGTTGCAGACGGTCCCTGAAGTGAAGTAAAGTGAACTACAGTGTGAGTGGATGAGGGCAGTGAAAGCATCTTTAAAGGTCAGGAGCTGCAGCTGAGAGTGTGGAGAATCACGAGTTCCTAGTCACTCCACTGGACCTGAACACGCTGATCTGAATGACTGAGGCCCGGGGGGCGTCTGGGGGGCATCACCGACCCACCGTTCATCCACCGTCTCTGCAGCCATCCCATAATAATGAAGTCTTTGTGGATCTGTTCTCATACAGACAAACAGCCACCATTTAATTTATTTTACAATAATAAACATTCTATAATATTGTTATATAACAACATTATTATAATCCACTACAATATTGTAACATAAGACGTAGAATTTAAAATTTTATCTAAATGAAATATGAAAATATTTCCCATATTATTCATTATTTATATGTGTCAAAAGTCGTATTAAACATCACATTTAATTACATTTTAATATATATATATTGTTATTTATTGATAACATGTTAAAATACCATTAATATTATATATGTGTGTTAATGTAAAATTTTACATTAAAATTATTTTAATAAATTCATTTATATTATTTATGTGGATTTGTTATATTTCAGATGTATTTTTTTTTTCATTTAAACCAAAGTAGTTAGTTGTTAGATGTTAGTTACGAACCTGCGGAACGTTTGAATCTCTGCAGTTTGAACATTTGACTGGAGTCAAAGTGACGGTAAAGATATTTTTCATGGTTTTTAAAGAGGTGTGCGCGCGCACGGTTGTACTGAGGGGTCCGTGGGACTTGTTGGGACATGCTCTCGTGCTCTCTAACCCACAGTGGTCCACGGGACACATGATGGACACGATGGTCAGCCACAGACCCACGGACCTGACGGTGAGTGCTCATTGTCTTTAGTACTCATTAAACCACGTTTAGGCCTGACTCCATAAACATGTTAATGTTAGAGTCGTGGGATTCTGGTGATGTTTTAACCAGGGTTGACACCTGGTCCGTGAACCCAACACACCCGTCTGTGCCACACATCGACACCACATCTGACAGAAATGACCAAAATAAAACACAGGAAATACTACGGCGGTTTGTACGAACTTTAACAGTTACGCTGAGTTATCGGTTTATTTGTTTTTTTTAAGTGCGTTATTGCCACAAGAACAGACTAGATTTAAGATTTAATTTACTACACTTTATATAAGAATGTGTTCATCAATAATAAACCATTTACTGGTTTGACACAAAATAAAAACCACTCTGCGGTAGCCCCGCCCACAGGAGTCGGGTCAATCACGCTGTTTTTAGATGTCGTTACTACGACTGTAGTCACTAAGATACAGCTGAACAGGCAAAAGAAAAAATGTTAGAAAGCGGAAGTGGCATGTGACGTCAGACGCCGAAAAAGTCAACCGCGGGCTTTAAAAGCCGCAGGTGAACGGCTCAGCTAGAAATGTTAGCTAATGTTGGCGTTTTGACTCAGTGGATTCGTGTCAGCAGACTAGCTTAGCCTTCACATAAAGTGGAAGGAAACGTTTCATTTATTCTTTTTTTGTTTTGCTGAAGCTCATTAAAAACGTGAGCTTCGTGGTGAGCGTGTGTTTGGAGAAGCTGTTCACTCCTGGAGTCAAACTGTAGTGTTTGAAGTCCAGCGTCAGTGACGTCTACACTGGATTAAACTTGTTGTCAACGATGTTTGAATGAACAGAAACGCTGGGACTTCGGCTCACGGAGACCAGGTGGACGTCGTCCAGAGTCAGAGTCCAGTCCTGGAACTGAAGGACCAGGTGAGACAGATCTGTGGAGTCAAACTCGGGTCTTCATTTAATAACAAAGTCATTGTTGGACAAATGTACTGCAGTACTGACAGGATACTCTCTGGTTTATTTTCCAGATAGTTTGTCCTGAAGAGCTTCAACACGGTAGGGGGCGTCGTTTTTCTTCTATTTTGTGCGGTCGCTGCACCGCTGCTGTGTTCGGCTAGGCCGCTGTTGCCTTGTTGTGAACGTGTGTATGAGTGTTTGTTTGCGTGTGTGTGTGTGAACCATAGCAGTACCAGTAAATGGCCACCAGTCTCTGCTCTGGTTGGTTTACTTTCTGTTGTTTCCTGTCATGTTGTTTTCCTGTCAGCGAGGTCCTCCAGTAGGGGGCGACTCTCTGCTCAGGGTTGTTGTGACTCTGGTCCCATTTTCATGGTGTGGCTGTGGAACTGCTGAGCATGTGGTTAAACTGTTGGCTCTGGGTCTGAGCTGTGACCGTGGTGGTCCAGTGTCTGCAGAGTGACGTGGACCTGAAGTGGTCATTGTTTTATCGTCTTAATCTGCATGTTTCACTGGTGCCCAGACTGTGGGCTGTCGTCCTCGTGTGGGCTGAATGCCGAAGTGTATTTGTTCCAATAGGTTACAAGTTGATTTAAAACTTTAAAAAAAAAACTATATTAATTTGAACATGTTTGCTCTGTCTCTCCCTGCTGCTTTCTTTATAACTTAAATAAAGGAATTTTAAAAAAGACAAAACGTCAACCTGTGTTTCTCATGGGACTAAACACCCAGACACAGGTTTGAAACTTTCCATCGGACATGTGTTGCAGATAAGACTATGAGTGCAAATATGCCATCACACTTCCCTGGTGGTCTAGTGGTTAGGATTCGGCGCTCTCACCGCCGCGGCCCGGGTTCGATTCCCGGTCAGGGAACATCGTTTTTCTCTCTCAAAAGTTAAAAATCGTTCTATCATTTATAGGTTTTCTGGCTCAAATGATTAGTGTGTGGCGCAAAAAAGAAATATTTGTTGGCACGTAAAATCTGCTACCGTAACTCCAGTTATGAACTCCTGTTTCACAAATGAAACATATCTGTCTAAGCTTTGTAAATGCCGCCCTCGTGTGGTCATTGTAGTGGACGCAAGGGTAGACATCCTAGTATGCTGTACAATAACAGAATAGAATAGGCTTTATTGTCATTGTAACACAGCGGTACAACTAAATTGAGGAAAACGATGTTCCCTGACCGGGAATCGAACCCGGGCCGCGGCGGTGAGAGCGCCGAATCCTAACCACTAGACTACCAGGGAAGATAACGCACGGTTGGCTGTAAAGCAATACCTGCTGTAAAATGACAGTGCGTTTATTATTAATACTTGTGACAATAATGATCCTAGCCAACAGTAGTGACGATGATGATAGTAATAAGTTATAATAATAATAATGACTATTATTATTGTGTATAGAACTTTTAAGATAAGTGGTTGAAGTGTCGTTAAGCTAATTATTCATTGTTGTCTTTTTACCTAAATCAAAGTGGGGTTTGTTTTTTTATTTTTTACTAAAGTGTTACTTCATCAGAATAACTGTATTAACAGAAAGACTTGAATGTTACATTTATTACTGTTAGCCTGTGATGTGGGGTCAAATGAAAACAGAACTATAATATACAGTAAACAACAATGGTACTACAGTACAGCAGCACTACTGTACTGCACAGTACAAGAGTCAGTCATCTGACTTATGATACAATATTGAGCAATAAAGAAATGAGGCCCAGTTTCCATGTGTACTGGAAACATTCAGTTTATGGTGATGACTCAGCTAGTTGGAACTTTTAGCAGTTTTATTGGCAAACTAAACCAAATCAGACAGATTTGATTCTTTCCTTCTCACATCTTTTTCTTCCGTTCATTGAAATGTGTTGAAATATATTGACCGTCTTGTCTGTACATATTTACTATTTGAAGTTATTGTTCTGTTTTAGTGACCACGTCATGCTAGTCATGTCTGTTAATGTGACATTAGTAATCTGTCACTGGTCCTGCGGTGTGTCGACAGGAACCAGCTAGCCTGTTTGAGGCACATAGGCATGTTGTGAAGCAAGACGCCCACTGGGGGGCAGACCTTTATCTTTCCTTTGCTGCCTTCAGACTCACAACCAACATTTCTTCCAGTTCCAGTTCCATGTGAGCCAGTGTCAAAGATATGCTAATAGTTGCAATTCTTCTCTCTGTTCTTGGCTAAGCTTCACTGTCCAACACTGCCCCCATGATTTCTTGTGGTACTGCTTTGTTTCCTGTGTTGTTGTTAAGTATCTGCATGTTTTCTGAAAACACACTGAACTGTGTACAAAACGAATGAATAGGACGGACAAAAGACTGCGAGTGTGGGATTAGCAAAAAAACAAATGATGTTACCAAACATTTGTCGTATTATTTTGTGCACGATAAGTGTTGAAAGGCAGAGTCTGTGACCTGAATTATTTGTTTTTTTGTTTTTGAGAGTCTGTGACCTGAATTATTTAAGTTGTTTTTTTTTGTGTGTGTGAATGAATTCATTAATTTTACATTTGTTGCTATTTGGACACGCCGTACCTGTCGGATTTAACATCAGATCGACGTCGGTCGTTTGGGTTCTGACTCTTAAAGAGTCAGAGACACTAATCAATGATGAGGTGAGGTGTTGATCGGTGGAGGGACAGGTTAGTTATTAACTGTTTATTGAAAGGTTAGAGATAAGACTTGGGTTAGGCTGTACAGTACATTGACACACACACACCTTGAAATAGCTCAGGGTGTGTGTGTGTGTGTGTGCGAGTGTGAGTGTGTGAGAGAGAAGCTGAGTAAAATAGGTCCTGTCCTGGTAAAGACACTTTTTCCATCTCATTTGTCTCACCAAGATTTTCCGCCACGCCCCCTTGTGTTAGTGTCGGTGCTTTCACTTGGATACATGTAAATGGATACAGTGGAAATGTGACTCTGTGTGATCAGGTGAAAATAAACCTTAGTAAATCAAAGATAAATGCACACATTTCTGACATGTGTCTGTGAATGTGTCGTCAGTAGGTGAGTTGGGTGTGAACTTAACACATACACACACACACACACACCAGGGGAAGGAGTCTGACTCGTCACGTAGGTCTCACACAAAAGGGGAAGGAAACCAGTTGATCTAGACCAACCAGCAGAGCAGCTGTAGTCATCGTTACACACGGAAATCTCCGTCAGTTTCAACGGCTGAGCTCAGGGGCTGCTGACCTCTGCCCTGTGCCGTTTCCTTATCGCCTCTGGTTTTCTCTCTCTCTCTCTCTGAAAACAGCACAGGTTTGATTGTTTGTACACTGCTTCAAATTGTTGAACACCAGCAACCTGCTGTCTGTGGGGAGTGCTCTCTGTTCAAGGTTCAGGAAGATAACAAGAGGTGAGTGGCTGACGCGCAGCTCGTGTTATGTTACCAGAGGCTGAGATCAGATTACAGCGGACGACAGGTTGGCTGTAACCGTAGCTGGATTCAGATCGCAGAGACACAAACAAACCAGGAACTAGGACTAACACAGAGACTGAAGACGAGGCTACACCAGCTAACACCAGCTAACACCAGCTAACACAGGACTCGCTGTTGTTTTTGGGAAGAGTGTTGCCATGGGTGAGACGACACAACACTTTGTGCTTCTTCTGCTGTGTCTGTCAGGACTCGTCCACTCGTCCGCTGCCTTCGTCTTTTGGACGGCCGTGGTGGACATTAGTTATTACAACAACATCACCAACGACACTGAGGAGAACTTCTGTGAGTGTGGGGTGTACGGTCAAAACGCCAGGGTGGAGACAACCTCAGGCATCGTCGTTCTGCCCAGGGACGACCCCAAGGGCTGCCACCCCGATACTGTGTACAACTGGACCTCGTCGCCGTGGATAGCTTTGGTCAAAAGAGGCAGCTGTAACTTCAGCGAAAAGATAATTGCTGCCGTAGAACAAGGGGCGAGCGGTGTGGTGGTGTATAATGCGGACGGCACTGGGAACAGCACCAGTCACATGTCCCACCCAGAAGCAGCAGGCGTCGTGGCCATCATGATTGGTAACATCCAGGGCATGGAGATTGTAAAGTTGGTGAACAACGGAACAGACGTGTACATGACAATCGATGTAGGCAGCCCGCATGGGCCCTGGATTACCAGCTACTGGCTCTACTTCCTCTCCCTTGCGTTCTTCATCGTGACCACGGCCTCTATAGCCTACTTTGTCTTCATCTCCGCAAACCGCCTCTATAACCTCAGGATGCACAAACGCTCCGAGAGGAAGCTGAGGTCAGAGGCCAAGAAGGCAATAGGCCGCCTTCAGGTACGCAACCTGAAGAGAGACGATGAGATCACCAACTCCGAGGCCCACATGTGTGCCGTCTGTATCGAAGCCTACAAGGTAGGCGATGTGGTGACGGTGCTGACCTGTGACCACATCTTCCACAAGGCCTGCATCGAGCCCTGGCTGCTGGAGAGGAGAACCTGCCCCATGTGTAAGTGCGACATCCTGAAAGCACTGGGAGTTGAAGAGGAGTCCAAAGACAGCATTACCACCACTCTGCCACAAGATGCCACTGTGATCACAGTGGCCGGAGGAGACTCCCTGTTTGAGGTTCCGCTGACGGAGCCAGTTCGCTCTGACCCGGAGAGACAGCAGCACCGCTATGACAACAGAGCCTTCGAGGGAGACACAGAGGGCCGGGAGTGAACAACAACAGCAGCAGAGAAACAAACAGCGACAGACGGACGGGCTTCGAGGCGAAGACGTTTCCTTGAATAATGAAGCAGCAGATTAAAGACAGCGAGTTCCAGTCGTTCTTCGTGACAAGCACCGTCCACACAAAAAGCACACGCACTAAAAAAAGTCAAAAAAAGTAATTAAAAAAAAATCAACGGATTCTTACTGTAAAAGGCGCACACTGTGAGATTTAGATAAAAATGATCTTTATTCAATTTCTACTGACAGAAATGGAATTTTTTCATCTTATCACTGACACTTTAATAAGTGGGCACTGATCTCGACGTCCACCCTGGTCTATTGTATGAAGATGGACATGAAGATGGACATGAATGAAACATTTATTACACTTAACTTCTGATCAGTATCTGAAGGCTATAAATGTTTCCTACTTTCTTGGACAGAAATGATAACTATAATGTCAATTTGTATGAGTGCAATTTCATATATATATATAGGGCCATTAGCATATATGCTAAAAATATTGGACCGGTCTGGGTGTGTAGGACAAAAATACTGCTGTGGTTTCTAATGTTGTTTCTAAATAATCATACACAAAACATTTAATTAGTCAACTGACATTTAGCCATTGCAAAGAAGCGGTTCTGAGAGAAAGTGAAGCAGCAGCGGCTAGCAGGGAGGCTAACAACAAGAGGCCTCCCTGCTAGTTGATTTGATACCAGTTCACAGTACAATGTTTTTTTTTTTGTTGGTATTTTTTCATAATATAGATATATTTGGCCTTCACTTCTTTTTCAACATGTTATCTCAATGCAGCCACATTTTATGATGTAACAATTAGAGATAAGAGATAAGCAGATGAACAACAGGAAGATTAGAAGATTAGAAAGCAGTACATTGTCAGGTGTTGCATTAATCAGCCACGAGGAACAGAGAATTATCAGTTATTATGGCTATTGGTTAAAAATGTAGTTTGCGTTTTGTGACTTTTTCCATATATTGCGAAAACCTACACAGTTTATATTTAATGGTCTACTGGATCTTTTGATTTTTGTTGCCAGTGTAGCTGGAAATATGTCTTAATTATTAGTAAAGGTACTGTTTGGAGAGTAACAAAAGGTACAGAAGAGTCAAAGTGTGATCTGAAGCTCAAATGTCTGTTTTGCATTGCAAACATGATGCAGTGGGACGAAGGTCTCCACAGACTTTGCATTGATCAGCAGCGCAGCTACTGTCAGTTTACTTACATCCCTGAAGTCTGTGCTAATATCACTAGCTTCCAAACTGGCAACCAAATTAGTTTCTTCTATTTTGTTTTCTATTTTTCTACTTTGACCCCAGTGAGGTAGTTAAGGGTATTTTAAGATTATTTTCTTGACTTTATGAGTACAGTACACACCCATGACTGTAAATGTAGCACGCAGCAGGACGGGCTAACAACCTCTACTCAGAGGTTGTTTACCACCTTGATAACTAACGTTTGATAAACCAAACTGCCCAAAGGGAGGTGACAGGGCTGTAAATACCACACTGCGTTTGTAGTGTTCCTGGCTATGAAGTAGTCTTGTGAAAGGTGTCTGCACTCTCTCACCCTGCTGTCGATTGATTTGGAAAAATTCTCTTGTCATTTTTCTGTTTTAAAAGTTGACTTTGAAAACACACAGACTTCAGTTTCCTGTTCTGGTTCACTGTTGCTTGAACCTGCAGAGTAATTGTCTTCTTTTGTTTGCTGGTGGGTTGTTGATTGTGGTACTTATTAAATAACTACATAAATGTATATATATAAATATATATCTACATATTTGACTTAAAATATTTTTCTAAACTAAATCATTTTGTGACTGTTGTACAGATTCAATTCAATATTTTTCCTGTTGAAAAAAATACCACTTGCTGTAATAAATCAGAACACAATAAATCCCTCAAAATGAGGACAAATCGTAGGACGGTGTTTGTCTCCGGGTGTTCACTTCAGACCATGAGCTAAAAAACCCCACTGTGAACTCACCTCAGCTCATCTGCTCTTTGAAACTGACCTGTTCATGACAACACACAAAAGTACACGATGAGGGAGTGTGTGAGTGAGTGAGTTAGCGTTTGGCATAGCTCTCCATCCCCACCTAGTGGAAAGAAACAGCAACTCTCTCCGATATTCAGTTAATAATAATAATAATAATGTTAATTAAAAAATAATGTTTTTTTTCTCTCTCTGTACGTTAGTCAAAATGGTAAGTATTTATATTGTCAAATATTAAACACTTTTTTCAGAATACAGAAATTGACCTGGATATTGAGTTTAAACTCAATATTCTGAGTGAAGGGTTAAAATGAAAAAACATTAAGAAATAATATTGACTTTTCATCCTTATTCAAATTTCCACCACTCCCTAAAGTTACAATAGGACAATAATATCCTGTCTATAACTGTGTGATCACAGCAAATATTGTAGGTCAATATTTTTCTGACAGTATCTGACCAGAGAACGTTAACAAACAGGACAAGCTGTACATATAAAACTAGGTAATGTTTACATGGCTCTACACTTCCAAATAGTGGACGAAATAGGTAAACGCCCCGTCGTGATGTTAAGTTAATTTTAAAAAAAATGTATTAGGTGAAAATAAAGTTTAAAAGTAATTTATTTTTCTAAACGTTAAAAAATGACGTTGCATTGATTAAAAAAAATGGTTTCCAGAGAATTTCTGGAGTCAAATTTTAGGTCTTAGAAGTTAAAGTCAAAATGTTGGATAAGAAAGCAATTATTTTATATTTATTTATACTACTGTTGAATTAATTTGTTCTAAAACCACACCGGCTGAATTTCACTGCAGGTGGTTTCTTCTTCAAAACTCAGTTAATGTAAATGTTGTGTGACTGGAGGTCGGTGACAAACAGGACAAAGTATTTCTGTACAACATGCTAATGTTTGACAAAGCTCCACACTTCCACCTAGTGGAGGAAAATGCTTTCCACCAGGACATATGATTGATTCTAAATAAGGGGTTTATAAAAATATAAAATATTTTAATTTAAACTAGAAATTATTTTTGTAAACCATTGTCAGATATCATGTTGGACATAAAACATTAAAAACATTTTAAAATCATTCTAAATATTTCAATGTTACTAGTTTGTCAAAACTATAATAAATAACTCTCAATATTAAGAATTTTGTCCAGATATTAAGATCAATCCCATTTTTAATGTTTGAATTATTAAAATACACATTTTACTGAGATATCCATTAAAATCAAAGTCAGCATTTCACAATTATTCCTGTCTGTATTTTTCAGTTTATATTTATGTCTTTGTTTTCTGTAAGTACTTTTCGATGTATTATTGTCTTTATTTGCTGTCTGTATTTTCCAGTCTGTATATTTCCATCTGATGTTGATTCAGTAAAACCTCCTCCTCCTTCTGCGGTGCAGCTTCAGCAGAGCAGGAGAAAGAGTTTCTAATTAAATTACAGGAGTTCTCCTGTCTGGGCCGCTCCTCCTTCAGACTCTGAGTAATTATTTTAATGAAAGAAGGAAATTCGATTAGAAAAGTGCTCTGAGACACAAATGAATTAGCCAGACTGACTGGTAACATAAACCTTTCTCCCTCTCACTGCTTACCCAAACTATTAGATCACAATCCAAAGTGTACTATGTTAAATAAATATCGGAGCACTCTGGGCGTCTCCGTGCGTCTTCTCTGCTTCATTGGCTCAATGATGGAGATTAAATATTGATCTGCACTGCAGCACGGACTCTCCCGACCAGGAAATGTCTGTTTTAAATGCTCAGCAGCTTTGTACTTATTAAGCAGCAGACCTTCTTCTTCTGTGGTGGGGTCACGGCCCGGTGCTGTCACTACTTCCTTCCTCTCTGTCCTGTTCTGGCTCTGAGTAAACAGATAGAGCTGACAAAGAGACTCTCATCCTGGGTTCCTGCCATTTTACTGCCCTCTGCTGTCCTGTCCCGTCCTGTCCATCCCGTCCTTATCTGTTCTACCCCGTCCTGTCTTCTGACTGTTTTCTTGCTGACACATAACTAATGCCAGGCTGATGTGTGGACTGTGGTACAGTACCAGACGGTGTCCAAACATACAGCATTACTACAGTGATTTAATGTCAACACCAGAGGAAGACAAATCCACCTTTCACGTAGGGTAGGGGCTAAGATTAGGGGGAGGGTAAGGGGGTAAAAACCGGTGATGATGGTCAATAACATTTCTTAGGAACATGATAGCCCGATTTGTAATCGTTTTACTTTGAATTCCAATTCCAAAATTTTATTTATTTATTTAGATTTTTTTTATTCAACTTTTTTAAAAACATTTTTTAATTTTAAACTTTCTATTTTTTATACAGCTAATTTATTCAAACTTTATGTAACTAATGTTAACTAATGTTAACTTTGTAACAGGACTGTTGTAGCCAACGGTAGCTCTGGTGTCTGGACCAGGACTGTTGTAGCTAATGTTGGCTCTGGTGTCTGTACCAGGGCTGTTGTAGCTAACGTTAGCTCGGGTGTCTGTACCAGGGTATTGTCACACTCATGGTTTGTATAAAATATATATACATATAAAACATATATAATATGCAGCTTTAATTTTGATAAATTCTGTATGTCATGTGTATAAAAGTGTAACAATGATTCCACATTTATCCTCGGTCCCAACATTCAGAGTGTAGTCTCAGCAGCTCGGCTGCACCTGTCTGGGACTTGTTGTTGTCCAACCCATTAGCCAGGTGGAGCTACAGTCTGTTTTGTCCATTAGTCCCAGTATTTGCTTATAATTCAAATTAAAAACCAAAACCTCAGCAGTCCCTGGTCATGGTGTCTGAGTGAGGAGGATCAGAAAGTGAAAAAATATCCTCTTTACTTCCTCCTGACTCTGTGACGGCCGGCGGCGAGGCTTCAGCCCAAATTCCCTTTTAGCAAAAAACTGTCGTTCAGCAGCGTTTGACGTAAATCAATAATCCAGCTGCTTTCCATCAGCTCCTGACATTTTTCTCCGGCTTTTAATTCACGTAAACCTGGCTGGAGGCTTCCTGTTCACGCAGCTCAATGCACTGTGAAAGCGTCGCGTGTGATGGCGTGATGGCGTTGGTGGTGTTTGTTGGCTTCCTGCGTTCGTTCCCAGCAGCAGTCCATCCATCACGTCTGATTAGCTCCTTCTGCGACCTGTTCCCTGCAGCTGCTAATTAATGACCCATTTGCTTAATTGCAGCCTGCTACTGTATAAGACAGAGAGGAAACGTCGTGGCGAGGGTTTCATGTTGTTCGAAAGGTTTCTGATACAGGAAGGAAGTGGGAAAAAGGACGGGAACGGAAGTCTTTTGTCAGTAAATATGAAGCTACAGGTTTTAGGATGTCACGCCCGTCGGTCTCTTCCGGCTGATGCTGTGCGTGCGTGTCCACGTCCGTGCGATCAGGTGACCTCAGATGACCCTCACTCTCTGTAGTCTGTACAGAAACTTTATGTGATGTCACTTATATCCAGTAGTTTATACAATAGTCTTTAAAAACTATAGCATAAACAGAAATGTGTGAAAGGCCCAACGTTCACCCAAACTAAGATAAACAACATCAAACTATATGTCGATGATGTTTTCTTGATCAATTTGACCTTCCTGAAGGGAACTCCTGTGGGACCTATCTATCCATTCGTCTGTTTGTTCATTTTCAGCATCTGATTTGTACACACACACACACACACTCTCTACTGTTCGTGGGACAGTGAGGACAGACTTCTATGTCCCTTTCAGTTCACATGAGCCTCATTTTCTCCCTTTTTTCTGTCTGGGAGGGACAAACACAGGTGGCCATCGACTCGTTCCAGTGTAAACGGTTCCTCATTAGAAAACACTGTCCTTATTTCTGACACCAGGTTTAAGTCTAATTCCCTGTTGGCATCCTAAAATTACCTGGGCCGCAAATCCTGGCTCAATCTAGACCACACAGGGAAGTCGGCACAAAGAGCTGCGGTTGCAGTTTGGAGAGAGTGAACACAAACAAACTTTGTCAAACACTCCTCCTCCTCCTCCTCCTCCTCCTCCTGCTCCTCCTGCTCCTCTCTTATCTCCTGCAGCCTCAGGACACCTTCTCTCTGTTTATACCCCGTCAGATGCGTTTACAAGTTGCCCCACCTGAAACCACGGATACATATCTTTTACCACACTCCCGTGCCCCGGCCCTCCTCCCGCCCCGGCCTCAGTTCAGCCGTACAGCGCCGTATCCCGTTGCTTGGACAAAAGAGTCTTGACTGAGATGTAACTTATGCCTGGACAGGGAGGAGGGTGAGGACAAAGCCCGTCTTTCTCCCCTTAACACAACAACAGCCTTTGTGTCGTCTCTTCTGCAGCGTCCACAGAGGAAGAGGAACCACAGGGTGAGAAACAAAGGCCGTGAAAGACGAATCTTCACGTTGCTGCATCTCTGCTGACGGTTGCAAGCAATTATTTAAAAAAGAGAAACTTATTTTCTATGTCAGAGCAAAGAAAACACTGATGTGTCAGCTGATTACCTCCGAACAGGAACAGGAAATCAGTCAGGATCTAATCGGAGGATCTGGTTTGTTCTGTGCTGCTTATCAGGTGGTTCTGATCCGTCGCTGCAACGTTCCTCCGCACGAAATATAAAAGTTAAGAAAAATCAGTCTGATTAAAAAACGAAAAATAGAGTTTGGCTTAAAAAAGGTACATTCTGAAATATATTAGATCAATTAAATTAGGCTGCAACGATAAGGTAAAACCCAGGCATTACGTTATCGGGTTTTCATTATCGGAGGAAAAACCGATAACGATTCTTACAGATCACCCGTATTATCGGACATACCTAGGTCAAATTGTTACAATATTAAAGCTGTTGTTCTAGGTCTTTTAATAATAATAAAGTATTAGTATTTAAAGTTAAAGGAGAAACAGTTAGCCAGAGGCTAATTCCCAGTGAAATA